CAATAATAATAACAATAATAATAAAGGTGCCTCCTTATTGATATGGCATTCCCTGCAGACTGCAATGTATCTTTGAAGATTTTCAAAAAGCTATCAAAATACAAGGACCTTGAAATCGAAATCTCAAAAATGTGGCACATGGGAACATCAACAATCCCCGTTGTAGTTGGAACCCTCGGATTGGTTGGAAAAGATTGACTGATTGAAGGGATTCCTGGAAGGCTATGTCTTAAAGAAATACAAAAAAGATTTTCTCACTAGTACAGCCCACACCTTACGAAGGGCTGTGTCTATGTATTTTTTCCAGGACCTTAGGTCCCTGGGCGGGACCTGGAAAGAAATGAGTACAATCATAAATCAGAGGAAATAAAATAAAAATTATAAGAATAATAGATAAATAGAATGATACAAGAGTGAACACCAAAGAAACTGAAAAGATAAAAAAAAAATACATCAAGATATGGCTAGGGAGCTCAAAAAGCTACGGAACATGAATGTAGAACTAATTCCTATAGTAATGGGTGTATTTGAAACACCACATACGAAACTTAAAATGCGCTTAGAGAAAAATGTAACACCCAAAAAACTACCATCATTAAATCTGCGAGAATTTTCCGAAAATCTTTTAAGTCGTGAGTCTTGTTGACCCAATACCTCAAGAAGGGAATTTCCATTGACTCCGTCAATGTCCGACTCAAACATAATATGAAAGAAAGTAAAACTTACTGCTAAAGATATATAGAAAAACAAATGTAAATAGAATATAAAGAAAGGCTTTCGAAATATGTAAAATTTAAAAACGTTCGCCTAAAAGCAAAAAAAAAAAAAAAAAAAAAAAGAGAAAAAAGAATTTAAATGAGACCCTTTTTTATCGGTTCGTTCATTGGAAGAAGGGCAAAAGTCCAATGTTTACTCCTGCTTTCTGCGATCTATATTCGCAAGACGTATCTGCTGAGGCTGGAAGTAAGGTCATCCTTGAAATGTATTCTATCGTCGTTCACTGGGTATCATTTCTTTTAAGATTGGATATTCAAAATCGATAGTGCGGCATTCAAAGTATAAAATATTGAATCGATTACCTTCTTAGGACCATTTTCCTTTGGTTGCATGCAGGCGTGTCTGCACTTTTGCAGATAAATGATGCTTAGTTTTTTTTATGGGGGCTCTGTCATAATGTATCAGTAAATACGAGCGATAACATTTTAAGATTGACAAAAACAAAAAAGAGATAAACAGATGTCTCTATTTGTAGTTATGGATGCGTATATATATATATATATATATATATATATATATATATATATATATATATATATATATATTCTTATAGCGTTTTCAATAATTGACAGGTATACACTGAATGTAAAAGCGAATGAACAGTACATTTCAATCTCAGTTTGTTCATTATCTATCTATCTATCTATCTATCTATCTATCTATCTATCAGTTGTATCGTCGAGGTGAATGATTCTCAGAGAAGAATGAGTGCTTAACATATTTATTCAGCCCCAGTATCTGGTGCTAACGGATACATACAAAGAAACACAGAATAATAAGTTACAAAACAATTAACAAGACAACTTACAAGGAATAGAGGAGGGTCAAATGTTGTATAACTAAGTGAAGTAAGATCAGTCCGAACATTAATCAGCTTAGTATCAACTTATTAATCAACTTTTGAATTCGTTAATCGTAGACTATTTAATACTGAGCCAGACCATCTGGTAGAGTGTTGAAGGGCTGCTAGCTACTCTACAACACTATCTATCTACAGTTGTGGACAGAATTATTCACCCGCCTTTCATAATTAAAAAATAAAGGTGTAATTCCTCAAATGTTCATGAAAACTTCATGTCTATTTTTTTTCATAAATAATGAAATAATGGATTTGAAACAATGTACGTTGATGTCGATGACAAAATTTTTATTTTAATGTCAAACAAAAAATACAAAAAAACACGAAAAACATTGCCTCTTGCCTCAATTATGTAAAGTTTATTCTTGAATATTGTCTTAAATCATTTTCAATAGTTCCATACAAGATCACTACACACACTGATAGATATTTTGCTCCATTCTTCTTTAGCAATAGCTTCTAGTTCTTCCAAAATTGAAGGACTACTTTCTCTTCATACTTCAAATATGCCCATAGGTTTTTCAAGGGGGTTTAGGTCAGAACTTTGTGCAGGGTACGCCAATACCTTTCATTTTGATGTCATCTAAATATTTTGTAACAATTCGTGTCGTGTGCTTCGGGTCATTGTCATCTTTGAAAGTCCAGTGACGCCCCAACGACAGTTTTTGTGCATTTTGTTTTATATTATTTTAATAATAGCCAAATGCTGCTCTTTATCCTTTAAACCCTGTAAAGACACTAGTTCTCCTGGTGAAGAAGCAGGAAAACATTCCAAGAGCAGAATGTTCCCACCACTGTGCTTAATCGTAGAGAGGTTTTGTTTTAGTTTGCAAGCTTCATTCGCTTTCCTTCATACATAATAGG